TTCACCATTGATAAAGATGATCCTGAACCAGTGCTTTTCTGGTTTGCAAGCTTTGCATTTTTGTCATTTTTAATCATGCAAAACAAGAAGTTTCATTAACAAATGGAAGTAAGTTGTCTGCCTGCCCTGTCTCTACACCCCTGGCCACCTTCAGCCACCACATCGAAAAACATTCAAACTTCAGAGGACTTTCAAGCAGAGACTGAGTTACAAATAAAGCTTCTTGAGAGAATGGAGGCAGTGAAGTGCAGAGGCTGATTTGTGCCAAAGTAAAAGTAAATACAAACTGACACACTGTTAAACCATACAAGTGAAATCACAAATCAAAGTATCACAAAGCCGTGCCCGTTTGCAATTACAATTTCACATTTGTATTTTCCTTTTCTTTCATTTAGAGATGAATCAGCCAACATAATGGAAGAATCTTGTATTTCCAAAGAGTTATGGAATGGTTAAATTTTGGCTAAGAGGAGCCTAAAGCAGGTACCTGCCTCTCGTAAAATGAAATAAATAAATGAGAGACCTTCTTATTGTAGCAGCAGCCCTGTCAATAAAACAGAGCTTGCTATTAGAGGGGCATGTTTGAACTGGAGCGAAAGGAATGTTTTGGATTTGAAAAGGACTCACGGGATACGCTTTGGAAGTCCCTTTCTGGAGTTACTGTGAATTCAGGCAATCATCTGGGGGCAGCAAAAACTTTTACAATTTAAAAAAAAAAAATTTTCAATAATGCCATCTGAGGTCACTGGTATTTACTTCAAAGCCTATGATAAATTTACATAATATGAAGCAGTTAATGTTAGAGGAGCATTATTAATCTTGCAAAATGACTTATCCTGAGTAACAGGAAAGTAAGACAGGGATCAAGCTGACTGAATATTTCTGTTTGACTACGAGAGGCATCCTTTATACTTTTAAACTGAATCACACAAACTTATGTGGTGGTGTGGAGGAAACCTATTTTCATACACCTTAACTATAGTGGAGTCTCAACTTTAATCTGCCTGTTCACAATCACTTGCTCTCCATGGAACACTGTAACAGTGCAAGACCACAATTTCTACATAAACTGGATCTCCCTAATAAACAAAATAAACAGAGGAAAATCCCTATTAATTACAGGTTAGAGCAGCAGCTGTATTTAAAAGCAACATTTTCCAGCATTTTCTGCTTCTTCTTTGCTGCTGTTCTCTGCATGTGTCAATGACATTTGTGGCATACTTTGTGTGGTGAATTGAGCGGTTAATTTCACATTTTACAATAATTTTTCAAATTTTACAATACATGGAAATTAAATAACTAATTTGGAAGACATTTTTTATTTCAATGGTAAAACTATGTTTTAGAAAATGGTACGTCAGGTTGATGATGGCTTTCATTCTGCTGGTGAAAATAAGAAACAAAAACATGCAAAGGCTGTACATCAGACAAAAGATCACAGAGACAATCCAGTTAGTCAGAATATTATCCCAGGGAATTTTTATTAAAGTATTTACTAAACATCCATGCACAGTAAGGGCCGTTCAGTTTGTATGGGCTTGATATGGCCAACCAAACATTTTCCATGAGTTTCAGATTTTTTGTCTGTAAGGACATCTTTAGATATTGAGATAAATATCTTTAATGACAATTACTACAATGACAACAAAACTGAGTCTGTATGATTATTCAGTAGTACGAGGCCCCAGGTGTCCTCTATGCAGAGGCAAGCAACATGCAAACTCACATTTCATCCAAACAGCTCTACCACAAAATAAAGCTGACAGTTTTATGGATATTAGAGGATTATATTTCAGTGTGACTCATATGTACTGCACCTTATGATGAGATACTAGGGTACATAACAAAGCATCTAGTATTTTTTCTTCAGCCTAAGCTGCCAAGTATTTATTATAACCTTGTTCCATGTTAAACTTTTAGACCAATGGTTACATCATTGGAAACACAACAGAGTTTTACCAAGCCAGTCAGCTTTGTAGCTTCATTTCCACAGCTACTTTGTCTGTGTCTTATTTCCGATTGTCAAACTCCTCTGACAGATTATCTTATTTGGAGAAACTGATAAAAGCTAAAAAAAATCATAAATACAAATAAACAAATAAACATCCAGACTACAGCCCAATTTTGTTAGGATTCAAACAAGCTTCTAATATTATTATAGCTTCAAAATAAATGCATGAAATGTTCAGTCCATCGTAAGGCTCGGTGTACATTCAGGGTACACCATATTCTGTCTGATTTGAGGAAAGTAAAACACCTCACAGCCCTTGGGGGAATGGTATAGTCTCTTACATAGTTATTTTATTAAGTAAAAAAAAAAAATACAATGTGGACATTACTTGTAGGGAGAAAAAAAACCTCAAGCTCAGCTGAATGTCAAACAGCCCTCATATTTTTAACCTTTGTTTACTGTTGCCCTGTTATGTAATAGTTCATTGCAGAAAGGAAATCCTCCCCATGTGTTCCAATTTAAGGATTACAGGGAGCAAAAAAAGTGTGTGTGTGTGTGTGTGTGTGTGTGTGTGTGTGTGTGTGTGTGTGTGTGCGCGCGTGTGTGTGCTCGCTCCTTTCAACCACGATGGTTTCCATCTTAAATGGCAAAGGTTGACATAAATCTCTCTTTCTCTCTCTCTCTCTTTCTCTCTCTCCCCAGGCCCCCGGGAAAAGAAGAAGAAGAAGAAAAAAGAAAGAGCGACACAGAGGAAGTGCGAGCCCCCAGCCTCGGAATTCGGCTGTGTTGCGTCCTGTCGGATGTTCGACCAGGCAGGAAGCGCGGGGCTCCTTTCAAATGTTTCTCGGGGCTCCCCTTGGGTGGAAACGGGCAATAAATAGTTGGGTATCTCGCGGCCGCGTTCCAGCTTGAAGGCCTAGCGGGGGAAGTGAGCGATTCGGCTGGAGAGAGAACAGGATAAGAGGATTTCTGTGTCTGCTGTTATCAGTCAGCCGAGTGAAACCACAGGAGAAGCTCACAGGGGTGGGGGGGGTACATGATGCGAGTGTGTGTGTGTGTGTGTGAGGGGGACTTCCATTTATACTGTTAGTGGTTTCTCCTAAAAGTGAAAATGTTTTACGTTTTTTCGTGGAATTTTGTGAGATGTAACATAGAACAGGGCCAGGAGCCTTTTGTTTTCTCTTTTAATTTTACAGAGGCAGTAAGTGGTACAGGGTTAACCATGTTTTCACCCTCAAGTCCACAGTTTCACACCTATCTGAGAGTTTATTTGAGCCATTGTTGCATGTAGGAGTTAATCAGTAATAGTGAGATACCACACAACGCTATCACTTGACCTCTCTCACTCAATGGTGTGGCACACAAACTTGTAGCAGCTGAGGTTATTCCAAAAGCAGCAGGCCAGAATTTATGTCTAGCACCGTTTTCTCATATGAACTCTGGACAATGTCTGGAGAATCAGGTCTGGACATTGTCCAGAGTTGCCCTACAGATGTAGCACACAATTGGAGATTGTCCATGTCAGATGCATTCTCACCTACTGGAAATACTCCGTTTGGTTTAGGCGAGGGGTGGCGCCTGGGTAGAGCGTGCAGGAGGCAGGACATGACGCAAAAAGTACGCTGCAGAAATTGCAGTGTTTTGTTTACAGCACATCGGTTTGTAATTTAGTCATAAACAACCGAGTCTCTTGCCGTTCCTTGAATTTGTCTGACGATTTCGGAGCTGGCCTTTGCAGAAGTTCCCGAAACTCGTTGTCCAGTTAGACATTTTCGTTGGCGTCTTCGTGTAAATCATGTAAATGATGTTTGTATTCTTCCGGTTTTGCGCCGGTCGCATGATAGAAACGTCATCAACATGCCCACTCACTCGCTGTGAATTCTCCGGACAATGACTTGCTCTTTTCACACATGGACTCAATCGGACATTACACAGACTTTTTACTAGGGAGCTGGCAGGGAAAAGTCCGTTTAATGTCCAGTCCAACTGATTTGGACATTTGCGTTCTCACATACAGCTCCTCTGGGTAATGTCCAGATAAGTTCAGGGTTGCAGTGCATGTCTGAAAGGGGCTTGGGTTGTAATTAGCATTAAAATCTTGGACCGACATATTTAAATCGGATAACACACCGTACCATTCAAAACTTGATTATACTGGTTGATTGACTGCACTGTTCTTATGGATTATTAATTATATTACAGTTTATTGATTATGAAGGCTAATCTATTACACGAGTAATATATTATTTCAAAATGTACCAAAACAACAAGGATACATGGTAGTCAGCATTCAAGACAATATTTTGTACATGTTTTTGGAGCTTGAAAGCTTCATATTCTATATCCTCATTTGTCTGGTGCAAGGAAGATAACATACTTTTATAACATGGTGGCATCTCCATTATTTTACCTATAAAACAAACAAAACCCAACTTGAACCAAAAGTTCACATGAGCCATCTGTCAACATCATGCTGTGTCAGGTGACCGAAGAGAGCCGTGGCACTGGAAATTTGACTTTCGAGAGGAGGAGGACAGTGGTCGCACCACGTCCAGCATGTTCTTCCAGCGGCGCATAGAGTCAAACAGCTGCGCTGTGGTTGCAGTCAGGCCTTTGCGCCGAACGCACAAGGGTCAACAGCGCCGCTGACGCTGGCTCCACTCCACCTCTGACTCCAGAAACGGTTCTGCTCCTTTCAGGACACAGGATTACCCTTTGTAAGCCATTTTAAAAGGCTCCACTACGGCGGTGCGATGCATCACCCCTTGGCACCGCAGACCAAAGATAACTCATCGCCTCATATATTTACTGCTACCGCCTGGCCTACCTGCACAGGGCTGCTGAAAGGATAAATGGCAGGTGGTAATTTCTGGGGTGTATAATTTTCTAAGGAAGGCACTGTGTGTGCTGCAACCCAGAATATTGTTACCCTGAGTCATATCCGTCCCTTTGCCTCTCTCGGTTCCAGGTTCATCACCAGTCCGTGCCAATGGTGTAGATCCTCAAAAACTGATTCTTTTGACTCCCCTACTCTGTTGAGCATTGGGGCAGCAGTGTAGCATAGCGGTAAGGTGGTGGGCTTGTAACCGAAAGGCCGCAGGTTTGATTCCCCGCTGGGGCGCTGCTGCTGTACCCTTGGGTAAGGTAACCCACAATTGCCTCAGTAAATATCCAGCTGTATAAATGGATAAGACGTACGTTGCTCTGGCTAAGAGTGTCTGCTCAATCGCAATAATACAATACGTTTTACACTTCAGTTACTGAACAGTCTCACCAACTGTTCATCAGCATAGCAATCATCTGGATCACCGGAGGTGGTGGTGCTTCAGTAAATCAAACACGGCCCCACTACGTGATGTGCGCGGGCTGGTAGGAAACGTCTGTCTCATACCAGCCTTGGGGGGGTTTTTTCGGTGGGCGTGCAGTCTCACAGACCTTTGTTCCTTGTGCGTGGAAAATCACACATTGTCAACATTAAAGGGGAAGGCTAATATTTACCACATCCGTGCCGGCTCTGATATTAGCCAGGTGTGACTAAGAACAGAGAATCCGTCGCGGGTGGGTTTGCTCCATCAGAGGCAGTGCAAGTTTTACCGTCTTCCACCCTTGTTATCTCTTTATGAATGAAAGATGTGGCGTGGTCGTTCACCAGCCAAGCACGAGACACTCTGCATATTAAGCAGGTCTTGTCAGTGTAAACTTGTAACAAGGTATGGAACCAATTAGCTGCTGTAGTAATGCCGGCAGTTGGGTGACCTGTGTTTAGTATTTTTATACCTGTAGCAGTTACTTGATCACTTCCAATTAGGCTTTTCATCGAGAGAAAAAAATGAACTGTGTATAGCTTATGTTTTCTTATGAGATCAGATTAAGCCACCAAGGTGAGCTATTGGCCATAAAATGACATATATTAGTCAGTTTATGTGTTTATGCTGGAAGACTGTGTGAATTGTTGCTTTGGACTAAATCTCCAAGGGGATTATAAGAGTCCATTTTACAACTAGACTTGAACTGTACATTGTTTAAGTAGCATTTTCAGATGCCTGCGTCATCTTTTACCATGAGAAATGCAAGCATAGTTTGTTTGTATGTTTGTGTGAGGGGGGTGTTATGGTGGCCAAGGAATTAGCCTTATAACCAAAAGTCTGTACACATGGTGTGCTTGAACAAGGTCCTTAGGCTCAATACCTTTGACAAATATATTTATATACATATATGCAGCCCTAATGGGAAACAGACATGGAGAAATAAAGTTGTTAGTTGTTTGCCCTAAATCCCTTGTCAAGGGATGCAAGCAGTCTCATTAACCATGAATTCATCAAAACAAATTTTGCATTCATACCCACAACTAATAACTATGCCATGGAATTCATTTCCATCCATAAAATTGAATCCCTTGACATTTCGCAACAGCAGAGATCCATCATAGAGGTAGTCTTGAGCAACAGCCTCAGCTGAGCCAGAGTCTGAAAGCCATGAAAGCCAGACGTATAGACATTGTGAGGTGACTGACATGAGGCAGATTGAGGCCTGATTACTTTTAACACGTGTGAGTAATGCTTCAACTTCTGTTATGAGGGAACTCCTCTATAAAGGCTAATGCTAGCATGGTTGACGATACTCAACAGCTGGTCAGACTGTGTGAAGACTGGCTGTAACTGTGTCCAAGGCTCTACTGCTTCTGTGAACCTCAAGTAAGCCGTGCATAACATAGCACAGCAGAAGAAGCATGCCCATGTCTACAGTCATCAAGAGAAGGAGCAGGGGGCGTCCAGTAGACCAAGGGAGATGAAAGCAAACTCATAAAGCTTGCCTTTGAAAGAACTGCTGAAGATTTGTTTTTTAATGCAATTAAAAGAACTGTCCCTTCCACTTCTGCCAAATCGGTTCAAAGAAATGGACTGAGACCGTGAGTTAGGTCCGAGACCAGAGCTGCTTGGTGTTTATGCCCAACGGCTAGATGCTGGAGGCTGCAGCTTTGCGTGTCCCACGACCCTGGGACCCAGGCCTGTAACCAGGCATATTTTTGCACGGATATCAACGCCTCCCTTTTTTTCTGGCTGCGTATGGCTTTTCCACAGGGCCATTCCCAGCATTCCTCTCATTGGCTTGCGGGTCAGACACCTGCCGCGGGGGAAACAGCTGTGGACAGGACAACATCGTTACAGAGGCTGGGAGTTCCACAGCTCACTCTCCCCCACCCATGTGATGGAAACACAGCGATACAGACATAATGGTTCATCTAGAGGGAGAGAGTACAAACTGACCAAGAGGGAGAACAGAGTACTCATTAAACAATGTGGGACTGTTTGATACTTATATCTGTAGCATTTAAATACATAATAATATTTTATATAAAATGCAAACATATTCTTTTTAAATGGAATGCAGGCCTACATAATGTATTGATTAACCATATGAGTGCCACTTTCACTTGAAACAATACATAATCTTACAACTTCCACATAAAGCACATTTATTATTTAGTCATTAATTTGTGAGAGGCTCCTATCCAGGAAGAATATAGTACAGAGCAGCCAATAACACAGAATGAGCACCAAGCTGAGAGATAATATGAAAATGTAAATGTTTCAGAGTACATACTGTGCCTACAAATTATTCTCCAGCAACATAGTTATTTCATACTGCATGTGAATACACTATACACATATGTGCTATAACTCAATGAGAGTAACATTATATCATTATAATCTTATATCACAGTACCCCAGTCTCCGTATCACCCAATCTCCAAAATTCTTAACAAATCTGCAATTGCTCACATTTAGCTGTAGCAGAGCCTGTCGAAGATATATTAGCTTACCGCAGACGGAAGCTACAGATCAAATTCTAATATGCAACCACTAGTAACATGCAGCCACTGGTAAATAAAACATTTTCTTTACAGTCGCAATAGGGAGAGGCCTGATATGGGCTGTTGTGACCCTGAGCTTGATGATGTGAGGGAACACCCAGGAGCACGGTGGGACTGTAAGGCTTTGACCCCAGTGCTGGCAAAGCAGGCCCCTGGGATGGGCAAGCTCGGGCCGGGAAGGAGCAGTCTGTTATTGACGCATCTCTCAGGGCCTCCGGCGAGGGGGAAGTCGCTAGATATTTAAACAGAGAGATAACCACAGAATGTTTACCAAAGAGGCTGTGGCAAACCCAGGCAGCTGACCGCTCCTTATGGAAAGACAAATACAATTAGAGTGTTTCTCATTTTATTTGGTCCTCAAAGGAAGATATATATCAGTATCTGTATCCCGGGGGGTTGGGGGTTGAATCAAATTAATACATAAATACATACCATAAAACAGGGTTGTTTCATCATTCATGTATAAAGCAATTCTAAATAACTGCAATATTAGTAGTCCTCTGAGATGTCTGTGTTATCGCAACGCATTTAACGGCCAGCTATTTCCTTACTCTGTGTTCAGTTGTAGTTAACATAGCAATTGAAGGTACATCTCATGCTATCCTACACACACCCTCCATGCACTTCCTCCTGCACCTGTCAGTCTAGGCTCCTTCAGAGGTCACTGCGTTGCCCTAAATTACAGCACACCTGGAACTCCAGATATTCAACTGAGCAATAGACCGCAGAGCTGAACACATGGATAATGAAAATGGAAGAGTCTAAGGGAATAAGTTAACTTCTAAAATGATTAATAATGTCAGTTTATTTAACAGGGACTATAGTTATAAATGCAATTAATTTTGCCTCTAAGGACAAAAGACCAAAAAGATGAAGCAGAAGAGCTATACGGGCATCCAATCAGAACTGGTCTGTAAACCCACCTATAGTTATTGACATTTCGCCATCTTTTTAATGGTAAGTTGATGGTTTTTTGGTATCTTTTTTACTTCTTTTTTACAGCAGTTATGTCACAGTTGTGTATGTGTAGTTGAGTACAGATAATTTATCAAGATCCATCTTGATATCTACTCTACCCACATAGTCCACACACTGTTATTGTAGGAAAATGTAAGAGAGGAAGTGAAGAAAGTGATTGAGGAAATAATACATTTGCAATCTCATTTCAGTATGTGACCAATGATTGCTGAGGGACGGTGTGAATGAAGGGAAAAACAGATTATGTGACTACTTATTTGTAAGAAGAAATAAAAGGAAAGAAGGGAAAATTTTATTCTTAGAGGATCTGCTTCTGGAAAAACAAGGAAATAAGGGCTGTCAAAGGCTAAGAAGGGAATGTTTGTTGTTGCTGTGCACTTTAAATTATCCGACAAAAAGCAGGCCTCGTTAAGCGCTGGTATTACAAGCCCTTGTGGCTCAATGCAAGATCTTCTCACCTTTCCTCATATACATTGGCAGGGACAGAATGTGCAACAAATGAGGATTAAAAACCCAGCCACCCTATTTCCTATCAGACAGGAAAGGGATGGAATCAACCATCACCAAAAAAAAAGTCTTTTCCTGTTGGCTCGGCTTCTCGAGGAGCCATTTTGAATTCAAAGTGTTTCTTTCTTCTTCCTTTTTTCCTGGAGGAGGCAGTGAATAGGAGAGTGACTGATTCATGAACAGTGCGGGCCTTCATCCATGGGAAGCCTTCAGCTGCGCAGATGGCCGGCCTGTTTAATCCGCCCCGTGGCCCGTTCCCCTCTCCTCTCCCTCGCTCGCCTCATCCTATTTATTCCCCACAGACCCCCGGGAGACGTGGACAGTTGCGGAGCAACGTGCGCCCGGACTGGGCATGTACGCAGACGCACGCTCCCGCATGTTAATGAGAGCCCACTGCAGGCAAGGGAGGTCCCGGCCAAGGGCCCCGCTCCACACGTCATGGAGAGGCCCATTTATCAGAGACGGGCTGTGACCGTATCGTCATGGACAGCTGTTGCATTTTGCAGAGGTGTTTTTTTTCTCATCTCGGTGAGAACATTCATCCGTCACAGTATACTCACTTGGGCCTTTTTGGTCAATAAATATTAATGGATTTTTTTAAACTAGCTAAAAAAAAATTGAATGACTTGACATCATCCAGGACATAGACTGAGAGTTACTAAATGAAATGGAGGGCTATCATACTGCATATGTGAGTATTCTGCGGTTCTTCGTTTTGAGTTGCAAAAAGTTTACTGTAGATACAGAACAGATTTCTCT